CTAGTTAGTTATCACACTTATAAAATCATTATACATTTAGTTGTAGTGTATGACTTAGTCATACCATCCACTCATGGAACCAGGGTTATGCTAAACGGGGAGGGTGGGGGGAGATAAACAAAATGGACGAGAAAAATACATGTATAAAAAAAAGGGTTTGCTTTTCATGTGATATGCTGGACACATGGACTGAGTTGGGTATTAAAAACGATATTTCTGATTACCTTACCGTTAGCAATGCATTGTCATGGGAATTATTTCGTTGACTGTAGTTATTGTTGTTGTACTTATCAGGCCTACACTTATTTTTCATTTTTGGGTGGAAAGAAATGGGATATGTCTGAAGATAAAATGATACATGACCCCGTGAGCGCACTGGGTCCACCATTTTTCCAAAGTTGATAAATGTAAGATGCAACACATGACAATTTAAAGTCTAATATATCAATGTGAACAAACTCTAATACGTTTCTTCTTCAATCATGCAGTCTAAGGGTCATATCCGTTACGATCAGGGTCACTATTGAACTTCAAACTGTCGATTTCGACACTATGGAGCCCAAGTAGGCCTATTGGTTCCCGCCGCGGTGGCGATGTCGACGGCGTCGGTGTCGGTGGCGGCGTTGCGTTGCCTGTAGTGCTCTTGGGGTTTTTGACTGAGGTACGAGAGTCTCGTCCCAGCTCGTTCTCTGCAGAAAAATTACCTTTCGCAGTGGAATGGTTAAACAACGTGCCTGACAGGTAATTGGGAGCATATGATGTCTTCTTGTCATCTTCTCGACCCTCAGTACATTCAGTCGGCTTTGTGTAGCTACCCGATGGGTTGTTCGTGGAATGTCCCAGTTGGGCGGACGTGGGATGTACAGGTTGGGCGGCCATGGAATGTCCCGGTGAGACGATCGTGGGAGGTCCCGAATGGGCAGCCGTGGAATGTCTCGATGGGGCGACCGTGGGATGTCCCGGTTGGGAGGCCGTGGGAAGTCCCGATTGGGTGGCCGTGGAATGTCCCGGTGGGGCGACCATGGGATGTCTCGGTTGGGAGGCCGTGTAATGTTCCGGTGGGGCAATCGTGGGATGTCCCAGTTGGGCGGCCGTGAAATGTCCCGGTGGGGCGACCGTGGGATGTCTCGGTTGGGCGGCCGTGGAATGTCCCGGTTGGGAGGCCGTGGGATGTCCCGGTTGGGCGGTCGTGGAATGTCCCGGTGGGGCAATCGTGGGAGGTCCCGAATGAGCGGCCGTGGAGTGTCCTGAATGGGTGGTCGTGGGATGTCCCAGTTGGGTTTCCGTGGGATGTCCCGGTTGGATTTCCGAGGGAGCTCCTTGTAGATTTTCTGTAGTCTGTCCTGATGGCGTGTCTAAAATGAAAGAAGTACTTATAGTTGCATAGGCCTATATGAACAAAAAGAGTCACTCAGTACAAATAGCCTACGCTCAGTTAATCTGATGATTTACCAAGTCTGTGGTTTTGTTAATAAATGTAGTACTTAATTCAAAATGTAAATGTGCATGTAAGGTTCTCATATTATAATTTACAAAAATACCAGCATCTCTTCAGAAACCTGATTGTTAAGAATTTTACTTTTCACAGTGAACATTAAATATACAGGCATAAAAACGGACCGCTTAAAGCAATAATAACTCTTTGTTTCGGCCAAAAAATGAATTTTCCTGGAGTAAACAACAATTTTCCCATACTTACCAATGGTTAATGAATCCATTTTTACATTCAAAGTTAGTCCCTGGTTTTTTTCTGAAAAGTTTGGTTTTTTGTTAAAATCTCTTAAGAGATTTTAACAGAGTATAGACATCAATGGAGGTTCAAATATCAGAATAAAAGCTATAACTGCTGTTTTTGTGGTAAAACGGAATATATTATATTTCTATGAGTTATTCACAAGGTTTTTATTGTGAAATATAGGTCTCATACGAAGAGTTATTATCCCTTTAACCTAAAAAATTTATTTACCTGTGTCAGCCATAATAACGACAGCTAATGAAGGACGTTTCTCTCTCTCACGCCTCCTCTCAATATTTCGCTTCTTAAGATACACAATGACTCCTGCGACAGTTACGGCCACCAAAATAGATAATACTATAGGCGCAATGTACCAGTCGTGCCAAAGCTGAACGCTAGTGGTGTCATTGGCAGCGTTCTTACAATAAGATACGTCTGAAACAAACAAAAAAAAGACATTTTAAAACAAAGTTGTCTCGTTGGAAATTACATAATTGAGACAAAACTAAGGCTTATTTGACGGGTTTATTATTTATACAATGTATAACACACTTTGAAAATAAAGTGATATATGACGCACGCCAACAAACCGAAGATGGTAGTTAAGAAAACATTTTAATGTTTTAAAAGACATCACATACATATACAGGGCTATACAATAAATTTAAACTGTATATCTAAGAAATATCTTAAAGGGGAAAAACTCCTCCTTTTGGTGGGAAAATAAAACGGATTTTTCAGGGTAAACGACGATTTTCCAATACTTTCAATGATAATGAATCCGTTCTTTCTACGTTCTTTGTGCAACCATGAAACTGGCATCGTTGTTGTCGTAGAAAGGAGACACAAGCATAGCTTTGGTTGCTAAATGAATGCTCAATGATCGGCCAGTTGTCGGCTCGCAAAGTATTATCTCTTCTTTTTACACTCAAAGGACGCCGTGCAGTGTAAAGGGGAGTTAAAATATGACTGAAAAACGAAAAAGGCAAGCCCCTACCTGTGCTGCACTCATTGTCGTGGGTTATGTTTCCCTCCCTTTTTGTGCATTTGTCTTCTGCGCTGCAACTGTAACACATCAAAGGAAAATTTACAAATAATAATAATAATAATAATAATAATATTATTATTATTATTATTATTATTATTATATGTAACTGTTTCGACGGCGAAATTATTTCAATAAGAGATACGCAAAGCGTTCGATAAAATATAGTCGGAACTACTCGTAGGTTATCAAGAAAAGGAAAGGGACAAACATTTTTTATTACAGGAAAAAGTAATAAAAAATAGGACCTAATAGTCTTATAGTGGGGTGTTAAACGAAGTCTCCCCCACAAAATAATACTTATGAATGCATTTTTATAATAGGACTACACGTATCTACCCATGTAACAGTCATTAATGAAGACGAAAAAATAGAAATATTTTTTTGGAAAATTTGCAATAAATTACTTTCCAAGTATAGAATACTACTACTACTGCTGCTGCTGCTGCTGCTGCTGCTGCTGCTACTACTACTACTACTACTACTACTACTAATAATAATAATAATAATAATAATAATAATAATAATAATAATAATAAAAGAATCAACAACGAAATCGAAAAGGGTCCAACAATCAAAGAGAGAGAGAAGAAACAACTGGAAAGCAAGCTCAACATCAAGAAGAAGGAAGACATACCAGCAGTTTAGGAAACTCTCAAACAAAAGATACAAGCAAAAGTACAGAGGCTGGGGAAAAAGAAGATCGATGTTAATGAACCACCCACTATCCAAGAAGTTGAGGAGTTCTGGAGCAAAATATGGGAGAACAACAAAAGACACAATGATTAGGCTACTTGGATCCAACAAGAACAGGACCTCGCAGAACCAGGAATGGTCAGAAATCAATATCACAGAGACCACTGCCGCCATAAACAAGACCAGCAATTAGAAGGCACCTAGGATAGATGGTGTTGCCAACTTCTGGATCAAAAACCTCCCTAGCACACACGAAGACCTAGCAAGGGTTTTAGAAACATCATAGACCCCCTATGGGTACGAATCACAGAACGGCAAAGTTAACCACCTCTTCTACATGGATGACCTGAAGACCTTTGCCAGAAGATGGCCAACAGACAGGCCTTCTCACCATCGTCAAGGCCTTCAGTGATGACATCAAGATGGAGTTTGGACTCGACAAATGTGCAAAAGCCACCTTTAAGAGAGGACGGCTAGCTAAGACCACCGATATCAACCTTGGCATCGACACCATCATCAAGGAAATAGAACAAGAGGGCAAATACAAGTACCTAGGAGTGAACGAGAGAGATGGCATCCAACACACCGCCACGAAGGAAAAGGTTCGGAAAGAGTTCTTCAGGAGAGTGAGAATGGTACTGCAGAGCGAACTCAACGCGGCCAACCGATATGAGGCTATCAACACCCTAGCTTTACCTGTAATGACATACAGCTTTAACATCATCAACTGGAAAATGAGCTACATCAGAAGACTAGACACCAAGACCAGGAAGATAATGACCATGGAAAAGATGCACCACCCAAAAGCTGATGTTGACAGGCTGTACCTTCCAAGAGCAGAAGGAGGAAGAGGCCTGGTCCTACTCGAACTGTCCTTCAAAATTACCACCACAGGCCTAGACACATACCTGACATCAACAGAAGACCCACTCCTCCAACTAGTGAAACATCATGAGAATAGAAAAAAGCTCTACTCGATCAAAAATGAAGCCTTAAAATTCAAGCAGGAGCTGAAAATCCCAGAAATACCACCAACCGAGAATGAAGCGACAACAAAGTATGCCCGCAGAGTCAAACAGAAGAAAAAGAGCATGGCCAGCTATAAATGCGGAAGACCTGGAAAGAAAAGACAATACATGGGAAGTACCCAAAAAAGACCAAAGAGGCAGATGTATAACAAGAAAAGACCAACAAATGGCTCAAGACAAACGGACTAAAAGCTGAGACAGAAGGCCTGATCATTGCCGCACAAGACCAGAGTCTGGCTACTAGAGCCTACCACCATCACTTCATCAAAGATGGAACTGACACACAATGTAGGATCTGTGGAAGATACGAAGAGACCATTGACCACACCATCTCAGGCTGCCCAGAACTGGAAAAGACAGAGTACATTCACCGACATAACAAGGCAGCAACCTACCTGCATTGGAATATCTGCAGGGAATACAAGATCAAGACAGCTGACAAATGGTATAAACATCAGCCCAACACAGTCACTGAGAACAATGAGATCACCATCCTATGGGACATGCCCATACAGACAACATTACATCAACATACACAGAGATCAAAGCGAATGGACCAGATATCGTCATCAAGAACAAGAAAAACAAGGAATGCACCCTTATAGACATGGCAATACCATCAGAACGCAACACCTCTGTCAAGGTAACAGAAAAACTGTCAAAGTACAAGGACCTGGAGATCGAGATCAACAGAATGAGGGGAAAAAGGACCATAACAATACCTGTGGTCATTAGAGCTCTGGGACTTGTGAAGAAAGGATTAGAGAAATACACCGACAAAATCCCTGGAAACACCAACATCCATGAAGTCCAGAAGATAGTCCTCCTCGGAACTACACACATACTACGGAGGATGCTATCAATGAAGTAGAAAGGAACAACTACCCTCTAGCGCCTCAGGACCATTGTTTGGATCCAGCACTTTAGGTCGTAATAAACAACGCAGAAAGAAAACTAAATAATAACAATAATTATTATTATTGTTATTTTTACGATGCAAACCCGTTTGAAGTTTATCTGCATAAGCAAGAGCTTACTTCGTTCTCTTCTTACACGGCAGATAATCCATTGTGGCCGAAAAATGCATTGAACTACAGTTCTGACAGCCTAAAATAAACAAGAACATTTAAATGAGCTAAAAAATCACATGCCGCGGGTGAAGCTTTTAACTTTTAAAGCTTGAAAGCTTTCATAAAACAGAAAGTAAATACTGTTCAAGACTAACTGCATGTTTTCAATTTGTGACAACAATGCTTGAAAAGTGTGTAAAACTTAAAAGTTGCTAATTAAACTATTTAGTGATGTTCATTAAAAATAAAATAAGTGATTTTGTTGATTATATCCCACAGACTTCATAGCAAAAATGTTTGCACTCTTATTGAAATATTCATTCATTTTTTTTTTTTTTTTTTGTTATATGTAAACTATCATGTAAACAACTGCTGTCTCAGCATAAAAATAAATGTCAAAAGCTCAAGGAAGTTAATTTACAGATCAAAATTTTAAATTATCTGTTCATTACCTGTAGATATATAACCAAATATTTTACATTTCCTTTTCAAGTTTATATTTATTTATGAGACGTTATATATGAAATATATGTCATCCAATTAAATCTGAAATACTCGGACATTTTCGCAAGAGACACGGAAACGACCGAATAACTCCGACTTCACTTACCATCTCGTTCCGGTTCCTGTCCTGGCGGGCAATTATTTACCAAACACTCCTTTGTTATCTGCTGGTTGTTAGCATTTCTATAGCCGAGAAAGCAGTCACCACACACAGAATTTGATGTCGAGTTTCCTGCGAATTTGGTTACTCTGAACCGCTTGTTGCAGTCAACGCTGTAAATTATACATTATGATAAATAATTATTCACTTGATTATTATAATTATTCTCTTGGTTTAGTTTTAAATTGCATAAGATCAAACTTCACTAGTGTAAATAGTTTGAATAAAAACATAAGGCCTGCAAGAAAATCGATATAAAAAACAATACAAATCGAACAAGTCAATAAACTTGGTTTATCTACTACGCAGTGTTCGTAGATTAAACATTCAGGCATAGCAAGGCAACATATAAATAATTCAAACCCAAAACATAAATGATCGACTTTTGCATATTAAAATGGGATTGTTTTTATTAAAAGTAAAACTTAATAAAAAGATATCCAAAAATTATGAAAAAAATATTACTTCGGTTCGCAGCTCGTACTGCCCATTGCCAGTGTAGTCGTGGTCTCTTGCCTTGTGCCCGTCTCACATGGGTCACATGCTGAGGAATACGGGTCGCCCTCCTCACAGGCCACTGCCTTCGCTCCTGAAAACAAAAATATTCACAAGCTTTAAGCCGTTGAGGGAGCATTTTTCTTAAATTGCACTTCATGTAATTTTATTGGTAATTATCTAAATATCGTCACAGGCATCTGCCTTCTCATCTGAAAACAAAAATAAGCTAGCTTAAAATCATGGGGCGCCCATTTTTTTTTAAATTGAGCTTCATGTAATTCTATTGGTAAATATCGCTGCCTTCTGTCCTGAAAACAAAAATATCCACAAGCTTAAAGCCGTGAGGGACCTGATTTTTCTTAAATTGAACTTCATGTACTTTTGCTGGTAAATATCGTCATTTTTCTTAAATTGCACTTCATGTAATTTTATTGGTAATTATCTAAATATTCACAAGCTTAAAGCCGTGGGGTACCCATTTTCTTTAATTGAACATCATGTTATTTTATTGGAAAATATCGTCACAGGCAGCTTCCTTCTGTCCCAAAAACAAAAACAGTGGGTTGTCCATTTTTCTTAAAATGAACTACGTGTAATTCTATTGGTAAATATCATCACAAACAGTGGGTTGTCCATTTTTCTTAAAATGAACTACGTGTAATTCTTTTGGTAAATATCATCACAAGCATTCTGTCCCGAAAATGAAAATATTCACAAGCTTTAAGACAAGGTGCGACCAATTTTTATTAAATTGAACTTCATGTAGTTTTATCGGAAATAATCAGCCCATTACATCGAATATCAATGACGCACCTTTGAATGCAACAGGTGGGGCCGAGTTTTATTGATGAGTCACGGAATTCAATAAATGAGTAAGCTAAAGCTTAAACTGACGTATGGAGAAAAACAAAAAGAAAAAAAAAAACAAAAGAGAACGCGATCAAAACAGCCTCATGAAAATGTTCAAGTCAATAATTTGCCTATGGAGTCTTGAGAGGGATCAATTTGGAAAAAAAGGGAGAGGTATTCGTATTAAAGTATGATGATTTTTTGGCTGTTGGCTAATATATGACTTAACTACGAAATATTTTAATTAGAGAAAATAACCAAATTCATTTATAAACTGTTTTACCAGAGAAAGGAAAAAAATAAATTGAGAAAAAAATTTAAAAAGCTCTTTGCTATACTTTTTTGATGCCTAAAATAACATTAAGGCGTCATTTTGGCATTGAGTGACACCGCTAAATATATCTTGTGAGAAATCAAACTGAGACCTTGGTCAGGGGCGGATTCAGGGTTTTTTTTAAGGGCGACCCTCTTTCCCGGGACTGCTATAATCATTGACTTTGTTAACCTAAGAAGTAAAAATAGTAAAAAAAAAAAAAACTCGAAAATACTGGGTGAACCCGTGGATTGAAAGACGCCCCTTGAAAGGCGATTACAAACATTTGATGAAAGAACTTCGACTTGAAAAACAAGAAGTTTTCATTTCTTTCCTGAAAATAGAACCAACAATGTTTTGTGAAGACTACACCCTCGCCTAACGAAACCAGTGCTGTAATAAAAACAAACTTGCATACGTTTTAATCCTTATTTATCTCATAATGCTCTTTAATATTTTCTTGGTCAAATACTTTGAGGTCGCAAGGCCTGTGCAGTTTCGGTCAAACTGAACAAAAAACCTCTTTGCGACTTGCAACTGTCACCGGTTGCAAAAAGGTCGGCGACCGGTTGCAACAACTCGCAAAGTGGTTTCCAAATGAACGCTGGGTTAATATCCAGTTGCGCCGGTTTTCGGTGCAGCACCGATAACCTCCTGGCGACCGAAAAACTTACTTGTGGGATCCAACCGGTTACTAACAGGTTGCTGACTGCTTTGCAACTGATTTGCAACCGAATGTGTGGTTTTCCCTTTGTCTTTTTAACCCTAGGCGTTTGCCACTTACAATACAACGTAATTAAATCGTGACAAGTCATGCGCATCGTGTACTTTTTACACTCTCATGTTTGTTGTGTTGAAACTATTTTTATTTAAGTCTATTGGACACATTTTACGATTTGTTCATTTATCTGTGGATAATTTTGATTAAATTGATTTTATTTTCAGTTTTCTCTGCATTCGTGTACTTGTTTCATTGTTTACTCTGATAATATGGCTTTGCAAATTTTTAATAACATACAGCGTAAAAACGTACATTGCTTTTATCATCACATATTTTTTTTTTTTTTTTGGTTTCGTAAGTGTGAAATACCTGGTATATGAAAGCCTTGGCAATTAGTATAAAATATTGCCAACAAATGCAATTGATGTTTTGTTTTTCTAAAACATTATAATTGATGACCTTGATATTTATTTAGAAGGTTTACATAACAAATTATGAAAAAGTCTTTGCCCATATAGACCACCATCCTACGCCTATTTCATTGCAGTCGCTTGCAACCTTCCTGCAACATATTTTCGAACGCCTGCGATCGGTAAAAAAAACCCTGTTAGCGACAAAGATACTAAAGACCGTAAAACAACCATGCAGTTACAACTGCAACCTTCTAGCAACCTGCTGCCGACTACTTGCGACTGGTAAAAAACTTGTAAACGACCAGTCGACTAAATACGGTCAATCGACCGTGCAGTTGCAAATGGTATGCTACTGGTTATAGCAACCTACTGACAACCAAGAAGAGACCGATAGGCAACCTTCAGGATACCGATAATTTTCATCTTTACTCGCACTGGTTGTCGGTGCACAAAAAATGGCCTTCATGTGTCAACGATCGCAGACGACCTGTAAGCAACCTTATGCGACCTCTTAAAAACCTATGGCAACCTCCTTGCGACTGAGGTTGCAAAGAGGTTGCCAAAAGGTTGCAAGCGCAGTGTGACCCAGGCTTTAGCTAGTCAAAATTCTTATTTCAAGAGGGGACCATTGGTTTGATTTTTTTTTTCAGAAATCGAAGGGGCTGGGGTCTAAATCCGCCCCCCGACCCCCTCTAAATCCGCCCCTGTTGGTAAAGGGTTACAAAATTGGTTTTAAAAAATGACTCTGGTAGAGAGCAGATTTTGGCGTGCAGAGGGTATGAGACTCAGGTTGCCCTACCTGGACCACAAGTTACATCTTGACAGCAAATTTGTATCATGGTTATTTCATCTCCGACCCGTCTCTCCCTGGTCACCACCACGAAGCCATTCTCACACTGTAGGCCGCCTACCCCAAGAACGGTCACAGAGAACACCGTGATAGCCAAGATAAAATCCTAAAATAAACAAACAAATTAATTTATTACATTGTCCAATATGTACATGTATGCACAAACAAATTAAGAAATAAATAAATTTAAAATGTGGATGTCTGAGTGAATAATTATATAAGATGATTAATGCCGAAGTGATTGAAAGATACTTATAAAGTTATAATTATTATGAACATCTGCCTTTGCTCAGGAATTTAAATATTTCTGTTACAAAAAAGTTTGGGCGAGATATATTTAACTCATCCGATAAAGATCAAAAATCGAAACATTAAATAAATTGAAAGAAGAGAATAAAACACGTTTATTTAACCAGGTTATACTATTTTACCACTCGGATATACCATAGCATAGTGGAATTCTCGATAAACATGGGTTTTCAATAGTCCAAATGTCCATAAATTATTGCTTAGAGATTCAAATCTCTGTTCAAGCAAGACTTGCCTTGAAGGAAATTTTTTCATTGTTGTTTGAAGCCATGAAAGGGTGGCCGTTTCGATCTATCTCCAACTATATAGTCTTAAGCGGAGTGTTCGATGCACTGGAGGGCCGCACGGGCCGCGAATCTCTGCACGCCCCTGAAACTTAAATAATTCACACTCATGTTCTTTATGTTTTATTATGTACAGAATATGCAGCGACTCGAAGAAGTTGCTTTAACCCTGGCTCTTTCTATATTCTGCGTACTTATCACTTTAACTATGTTGCCATGGAGAAAATATGGTCACATGGCTAGTGATAATCTATATCTTCCTAAATTTATTAGATAAATGAAGTAAAAAAGATAAAACAAACAAACATAAATTCTCTATACCTGTGTAACGGTTACTACACTAAGTACAGCTTTATTTACCTCGGGATTATGATTTTTAAGTTTTACTTTGCAACTTGCTTTTATGCGTAAAAAAAAAATTAATAATAATAATAAAAGACTGATCATGTGCACCGTCTGGACACGTGCTACCGCTGTCTCTAACACATTGTGGGTACACTAAGGCCTATATTACATATTTTACATTTGTTCAAACAGTCATACTCTAGCACTCCCGTTATCTAATTAATATTATATTCATTCATGAGTAAGCCTGGAAATTTGGTGACAAACACTGGTGTGACTGTTGTGACTGAATACGCCTACTCGTCTCTGCTGCAATGTACCTGTACATATACTCAGTGTTGTCACCAGTGTCCAAACAACCCACCAAACACATATCGCCATTTACATAACGTTACCATAACGTTTTTTTTATATATAATAATGTAACAATGTGGTAACGTAATCAAAACGCTATGTGTTTGTTGCTGGGAATAGTAACACCAGTGTCATCACGCACCATGTCATCAACTCTCCAGGGTATAGGCTTACTGAATAACCCGGAAGTGTTTCGTATCGATAAATGTAAACCCTTTCTCCATGGATAGGACGTAATATATAAGTCTCCGCATGAATATGTTTCTCCCGGTATTGTGTAGTATGCTTTAAGAGATATTTGGCAAATCCTACAAGAAAGATATTAGAGGTGATTCTGCTAAAACCGAGCGACGAGTCACCAAATCTCAGAGATCATACCATGCTGTCGTGTTTTATTAAC